TACGCATGTCTCGACGACGCATCCAAATCATTTCCGAGAAGGTCCTCGCTTTTTGTTGACTGCGACTTATCTGATCCAGTTACAATGTATTTTTCCTATGGTTAGCTTGCAAATGAAGGTACGGTATACTATATATTATATACAGCCAGTTCAGAGTAAAACCGAATATATCTATATATATATGGGGCGTGGCCTCGCCTCCCTCCAAGGCGCGTCACAGTAGCTTGTGTGATAAACGACAAGACGAAAGGTCGAGCAGGTAAGACGACGAAAAATTAAATGATAATAATGCAAAAAATCTCATTAGCGATGCAGGCTATTTGCTTAGATACTGTGTCGCGCGTTGGTGGGAGGCGAGGCCACGCCCCATATATATATATATATATATATATATATATTAGGGTGTTCCTTATTTAGGGGTCGGAAAAAATTTAACAGAGGCGCCCCCCAAATCGCTTCCAAATCATAAAAAAAAAATTCCTGCAAAATTTTAGGTCAATCGGTCAAAGGGAACACGTGCCCCACAGGGGTTTTCCGAACCGGTCCATCGTAGGAAAAAAAAGTGTATATAAATTTTATGTGTTTTTTTTAGATAAACAACTTTCGTAATAACAGTCCTGCGTTAAAAAAATTTATTCGGGGTCAAAACACGATAAAACGCTTTTTTGTGTACTTTAGCGCTACCTACTTTTTGAATTTTCTGTCCTAGAGCATCGACCCAATGACATAAATTGTAGGGGACAATGCACCCTACATTTTTTGTTGACAAAATTTTTTTCTTAAACTAACCGATTTTGAAAAAAATTAAATCCAAAACTTTTTGAGTTTTCACTAAAAACACGTTGTGCTCCGAAACTGTTTATCGTAGGAAAAAAAAGTTAAAATATATTTTGTAGTTTTTTTCAAGCTAATCAACTTTCCTAATGCCTTTGTCACAATAGTGATAATGTTAATGGTAATGTTAATAAAGCATAGACAAATGCGTATATCAACGTAACCATCAACATTACCATCATTGTGAACGGATACACGCATATTTCTATGCTTTGGGTATTAACATTAACATTACTATTAACATTAACACTATTGTGAGGTATAATAATAGTGCTGCGTTAAAAAAAAATCGAGTTCAAAAAGCGATACAACGCTTTTTTGGTACTTTGGCCCTACCTACTTCTAAAATTTTTTGTTCTAGAGCATCGACTCAATAACATAAATTGTAGGGACTACATTTTTTGATTAAAAATTTTTTTCTAAATCTTATCGTTTTTAAGAAAAATAAAATATAAAAAACAAAAATTGAGTTTTCTCCTTAATCCGGAGTAGGATAACGCAGTTGAGTTTAGGCTTTTCTTATAAGGCCACAATGATTCACGCAAAAAAAAATCTTGTAAAATTTAAGATTAATCCGTCAAAACTAACACGTACGCACGATAAGATTTAGAAAAAAAATTTTAATAAAAAAATGTAGTCCCTACAATTTATGTTATTGAGTCGATGCTCTAGAACAAAAAATTTTAGAAGTAGGTAGGGCCAAAGTACCAAAAAAAGCGTTGTATCGCTTTTTGAACTCGATTTTTTTTTAACGCAGCACTATTATTATACCTCACAATAGTGTTAATGTTAATAGTAATGTTAATGTTAATACCCAAAGCATAGAAATATGCGTGTATCCGTTCACAATGATGGTAATGTTGATGGTTACGTTGATACACGCATTTGTCTATGCTTTATTAACATTACCATTAACATTAACATTAACACTATTGTGACAAAGCTAACCGATTTTGAAAAAAATTAAATCCAAAACTTTTTGAGTTTTCACTAAAAACACGTTGTGCTCCGAAACTACGAAACGGTTTATCGTAGGGCATAGGAAAGGCATTAGGAAAGTTGATTAGCTTGAAAAAAACTACAAAATATATTTTAACTTTTTTTTCCTACGATAAACCGTTTCGTAGTTTCGGAGCACAACGTGTTTTTAGTGAAAACTCAAAAAGTTTTGGATTTATTTTTTTTCAAAATCGGTTAGTTTAAGAAAAAAATTTTGTCAACAAAAAATGTAGGGTGCATTGTCCCCTACAATTTATGTCATTGGGTCGATGCTCTAGGACAGAAAATTCAAAAAGTAGGTAGCGCTAAAGTACACAAAAAAGCGTTTTATCGCGTTTTGACCCCGAATAAATTTTTTTAACGCAGGACTGTTATTACAAAAGTTGTTTATCTAAAAAAAACACATAAAATTTATATACACTTTTTTTTCCTACGATGGACCGTTTCGGAGTTATATCAGCCTTCCGAATTTTCTCAATTATTTATTAAAAAACTCCTGTGGGGCACGTGTTCCCTTTGACCGATTGACCTAAAATTTTGCAGGATTTTTTTTTATGATTTGGAACCGATTTGGGGGGCGCCTCTGTTAAATTTTTTCCGACCCCTAAATAAGGAACACCCTAATATATATATTAGGGTGAGCCAAAAAAACTAACCTATCGGATTTATGGGTTAAAATGAACCTACATACCGAGCAAAAAATTTCCCTGCAAGGCAAAATTTTTTGCTCAATTTTAAAAGGTGTCGGTGAGCATTCTAAGTTTTCCATTGAAATAACACGTAAAAAAATCTTTTTTCATTAAAAAGACTATAACTTTTGAACCGTTTGAGATAAAATTTTTTACGTCGCGGATTCTTGTAGAGCATAAAATTTCCCAAATAATCTATACCATGATTATTTTTTTTAATTCAAAAATTCGTATGTTTGAAAGCTTTGAAAAGTGTAAAAAATCACTACAAACTGCCCTTGCAGGGAAATTTTTTGCTCGGTATGTAGGTTCATTTTAACCCATAAATCCGATAGGTTAGTTTTTTTGGCTCACCCTAATATATATATATATAGATATATTCGGTTTTTCTCTGAACGGGCTGTATACGTAGTTAATTATAATTAACTTATAAGTGCTTGGCATTTATGGCAAAAAAATATCTGACTGTAAGAGTAGATATTGACAACGTTATTTTAAATAACGCATTTTATGCACATCCTGAAACTATTTTGAATCCGATGAGAGAAAGCATGTAAGGGAAATATAAGTACCTAAGGCGAATTTTGAAAGCTAGAAATAACGAACCAGTTTTTAGAGTTCCGACATTAAACTTCAAGATTTAAGACTATATTGATTTAATCAAATTTAAACAAAAGTTTAAACAAAAACAGCGCATTAAACGTCCGATCTAGGGGTTTAAAATGCTTTTTTTTTACTTTTTGAAGTTTATAATATGTGACATATTTAAAATGTAAAGTTTTTACCGACTCACATGAATCACACATTTTGTGTAAACAATTTATTCATATATAAACAATCGTTCGTTCCCAGGAAGGCGCCAAAGTTCGAGGTGTCGCGCTTGTTGCAAGAAAATACCAGTATTTATAAATCTTTTTAAAATATAAAATATATGATTCCTATGTGATAACTCATGTAAAACGGTATTTGATCAATATACAGGTCGTCATAAGATGGGCAATATAGGTACTTAATTTAGCAGGGACGTATTATTTAGGAATTTTGCGAGCCGGGCGAATATGATTGGCCGCCCAGTACCCTATAGCAAAAGTGTACCAAAATTTGTTTAAATTTTTCATCTTTTACTTAGGTATATTAAACGTTATTTTAAGCTACAAGTAATGCGAAATTGTATAACCAAATAATAAATTAATTTAGCGTAAATTAAAAAAAAGTCGTAAAAAGTAAATACAAAGTACCTAGTAATGAATAAAGGCACACTTATGTGTTGTGTACATGATTAAAATCAAACAAATGGTGTGTGTAATTTGTTTGGAATGATTAGGTAAATACGTCCGTATACAAAACCAGGATTATTACCTCAGAAACTATATTTTCATACTACCTCGACTCAAAATACGTTGTTTCGTCCCCGATTCCACGGAGCGGGAGTAAAAATTTTTTAATCGTGTGCTTAACATTCAAATTTCTTACTGCCAACATGAGAAACACAAAAATATGACAGTTTTAAACCATAATTTTGCAATTATAACAACAAATAAACAATTTATGTTTTTACTTTTTTACTTTTTATGTTGTTTTAAGTGTTTAATGGTACTTTTATTTGTTATAAAGTAGTAATTTGTTAATTAAAATACAACGTTTTATTTTTACTGTATTGGCACCGCTGAATTCACGGCCTACTGTTATTTATTTATCAAGCTCTTCAAATGGAGATAGGTACATAAATACACATTTAATTTTTTCCCGTATTTTCGGCCGGGTTGTATTTTCGGCCGAGGTAGTAAGAAATAGTATATTACACTACAAGGGCAGAAAGTGTGAGATTCCTGCACTGCGCGCCATGATGCCCGAGGCGAAGCGCAGTTCAGGACTCTCACACTTTCTGCCCGTGTAGTGTATACTATTTTTCAGTATCATTAAACACTTAAAACAACATAAAAAGTAAAAAAGTAAAAACATAAATTGTTTATTTGTTGTTATAATTGCAAAATTATGGTTTAAAACTGTCATATTTTTGTGTTTCTCACGTGGGGAGGAGGGTGGTCTCGGCAAATATCACGTAATTTTTTCTACAGGAATTAATCGGTCATTTACAACAGGGAAATAATTCTTCAATAATTAATCCAATTAATTGTTAATATTTTATAAGTAACAAAGATTTCAAGTAAAGGGGTTTATCAATGTAAAAGAATGTAGTTAATGCACAACCAGTTTTTGATGTTTGTGTTTAATTTTTGATTTAATAGGGAATAAATAAAAAAATAATAAAAAAAGAATCTCATCTACCTACGCAAAATTTGCAAAGTATAAGTAATCACCTTTTTTATTATTTAAAATATTATAAAAATATACTCTCAAAAAAGCAAACTTCGACTATTTTTTTTTGACAGTTTCTCAATAAGCCAATAACTAACTCATAACATTCTGATGATATAAACGAAGTCACTCTTTATAACATAAACATTACTTTTTTAGCTTTTGGACGAAATGCTTGATAATGGTTTTCCTTTGGCTACGGAAAGCAATATATTAAAAGAATTAATTAAACCTCCCAATATCCTGAGAACTATAGCAAATACTGTAACAGGAAAAACCAAGTAAAATATTATGCTTTTAATTTATTTTAAACTTTAATAAACCAAATAATTTTAGTGTCAGTGAGATTTTACCAACTGGGCAATTGTCTAACATTCCATGGAGAAGATCTGGTGTTAAATACACTAATAATGAGGCATATTTTGATGTTATTGAGGAAGTAGATGCAATAATAGACAGATCAGGGGCTACTGTATTTGCTGAGATCCAAGGATATGTAAGTACTTTTCTATCAATTTTATATGTTTATTTTAATTTAAACTCTTTTGGTAATACCTCATAAAAAAGTACCGCACTTGGGCACCTTTTACAGTGCTCTGAGGAGTTCAGAATAATTACCATTTTAAAAACTAATTAATTGTCTTAAAACTGCAATTTTAAATACCAGATTTGTAACTGCTTTAATTTCTGATTTAATATGAATTATTGTATATACATCAGAAAGTTTTCATTATTTCAATTTTGACATGAAGAGGAGAACGCTATTTTTTCTACCACTATTATAAAAAAAGTAGAAAATAAACACTTTAATTCTGAAATGTTTTGTGCCTTTTTGCTGATTTTGCGGGTAACAAGTTGCTTTCGGCTTTTGCGGCCTGTTGTACAATTCTGGCGGGTTTAAAATTTCAATTTTACGTTCACTGTTGCACATGTTCACTAATTTTAACTTAAAAAAACTAACATAGAAAAATGTATTTTTTTTTATAAACACTATCTTGTTAAAACATCTGTTATAATATAACATATTATGTCCAAGGTAATAGTTGATATTGACAGAATATTGCCGTGAATCGCATTTCTATTGGTTAAAAATCTGTATTGTAATGAAAAATTTGTATTACAATGGATGTCATTATAGTACAGTGTTATGGCACGGGGTAGGGGTACTACCCACTCATGAAAAAGGCAGTAAACTAGGGCGATTTGAAGAATTTATATCTTGACAGCGCAAGCAGTGATGTCAAGTTTGGCCGATAGAGGTGATTGTCTAGTAAATCAAAAAGGAAAACGTAGGGTGTGTAATTTAAGTTCGCGTCTAGCTGGGTGAAGTGCCAATGAGAGGAGATCAGATTAAGTAATAAAACACAATAAGTGAGGCCTCTCAAAGCAAAACCGACAATCTCCACTTCACGGTTTTCTCAAAAACGGCTCCGCCAAAGATTTTAATTTTTTTTTGTTAAAATAATTAGTGGTCATGCAGATACAGAATGTGTTTTGGTCAAAAATTAGATTTTTGGCGGAGACTGTACTTCAACTAATTATCTATAAGATGTGCAGCAAAAGAAGCTAAATCCTGCCAAAAATTATATTTTAAAAATGATATTTAGTACAAAGTCAACAATCTCCACTTATAAATTTACAGCAAAGTATATAATCTCCAATTCCACCATTGGAAATATTAATTAATATACTTAAAATAGGTATATCTACGTTTTATTGTTTACAAAGGAAAAGTTATTTTGTTCATTTTGTGTAATCAGTTCAATCGCAAATAACTTTTATTTGATGTCTGATTTAAACGAATATTAAAGAATATTGTAGATAAATTAATGGACAATCGCTCACATTTTAAAAAATTACTAAAAAATAGACGTACGTTTATAATATACAGGTTTAAACAAAAAGATGTTTTTTACCATAAGTTTAAGACACTCGAGATCTGTAGAGTGGCAAAACCGTATATTGTTCTAAATTAAGTTTTATTTATCAAGTCACATCTATTCTTAACAGTTTTGTTTTTTGTTCACCTCGATATATTTATTTTTGTGGAAAATATGGATATTTTTAAAAAACATTGCAATTTCCAATATTTTTCCTGTATGAAGAACTAAGGTTGCTATGGTCCATCCATAGCCTATGGAGAATGAAAGTGACAGTTTTGTTGAATCATCCCATACTTGGACATGTCATATACAGCTTTCAGAAGCTATCAAATTGTTTTTTCTAAATGAATGTGTTAATTTTAAGGTGTCTTCTATTATATATTTTAAGATAAAATACAAAAAAATATCATATGCCATATTTATATTATTTACAGTTTACAGTCTCAGGTTAACAGAATTAAAGTGATTTTACATAAAAAATTATATAAATATGGCATATGATATTTTTTTGTATTTTATTTGAAAATATTTGAAATTTTTTATTAGTGTTACTTTTGATCGCTGATATCTTTGAAACGGTTTATCTAAAGAACTTTGATCTTCAGATGTTTTTTTGGAGAGCGTGAAATTGTCTACAACTCCTCTAGCTTGGGTGTTGCGAAAACAAACCATTTCAAAGTTATAAGAATTCAAAATAAAAAAAAATTAAAATTCCCGTGTTATTGAAATGGAAAAACAACAAATGAATTGAGGCAAACCTTAATATTAATATTAAGGGCTCAAATAGGCGCCAACATTTTTGTTTTTTAATGTACCTACTATTAATTTTTCAACACCATTGGAAAAAAAAATTGTATTTTTTTTAAACACCTTAATATATATGTATATACGTTTCGGTGCTGCAAGTTAGACGTGGAGTCTAATTCGCAGCAGAGCAGCAACAGCAGCCCAGCAGATAAGACCTGAAGATGGTACATAAGATTGTACCGAAACGTCGTCAGACATACGGTTCTGTTAAGAACCAAAAAACCGACAATACGGAAAACCATTAACATATATATATATATATATATATATATATATAATCCCACTAGGCGTCCTCCAATGTTAAATTTCGTATACAAACGGCGTCCTTTGGTCACTGGGCGTCCGTTATACGGACGCCAACTGGACTCTATCAAAAACATTTACCAATAAGCGCTAGATGGCTGTGAGATGCAGAAAAACTAAATTTTAAAAAGAGTTTAACTTGGTCGTTTAATGAATTCTGTTTATATTTTAATTCAAGGGTTTGCGTTAGAGTGTCACTACTATCGCCTTGTGTATATTCTTTTCAATCTTAGGTTTACCAAGCGCCCTTAAATGAAAAGCAAATTTGACAACGGTGTCGTTAATATAAACAAGTTATAAATAGATTGAAATTCAATCATTGAATGCTATTTAGGTTTGCATTAATTCTTTTTAGAGATTTACTTTTTTAAATAAGTACAAATATTTCGATCAAATTAATTATATTGATTTAAAACTTGCAAATAATAAATTAATGCCATAAATATTGTATGAGCAATTACATTTAAAATTATATAATTTAATATAAAATAAATAAGCATTTATTTATTTATTTTAATTAGTAGACTTTTAATACAAAAAAAATGTTATCAACAGATGGCAAACTTCACTAAATACATTTAAAAATAGATTTCATTATACTAGTCGCACATTATAATGTGTATATATACTATTTTTTATCCTTTTCACATTATGTTAAAAATGATTATTATGTGCGACTAGTGGGAGTAAACGCACGAGCGTAGCGAGTGCGGTAGGTACCACGAAAGTGTAATATCTACCAATAGTCGCACACAAGATTTTATTTAACTACCGCAAGAAATATACTGCCGTATAAAGCTGATACGACTCTTTTGCTTAGCAGGAAAATATACATAGGTATCAGTCTAAATACAAATTATGAACAATTGAAGAACCGAAAGAAGTATGGCGCAAGTAATTTAAAGCCAGTTTTATTTGATATTTTATCTGACATTTGACATCTATTTTAATTTAAAGCTTACTTACTTCATCCCAAGGGCAAAGTAACATTTCGCCCACGGGTTGAAGAAATAAACAATTAGGACATTAATTATTTCTCCCACCGTCAGTAGGGTCACGAAGTTATATGTTTCTTGCGGTTTTGAATAAAATAAATTTTACGAGTAGTAATTTGGTTCAAACTTAAAGCTAATAAAAATGTAAGTACATATACGAGCCCTAACCACATAATGTTCGGACACTTCATAATTTATACAGAAATTTTTTTCGTGAATACTATCTCAAAATTATTAGAAGTTATGAAAAATTCAGCTTATTTTGGCATATACCCCTCGAAGCGATTTTTATTTTTAAAAAGTTTACCTTTTATTTTTAGCTTTTAAAAAAAGGCTAACTTTTTAACTTTTTTTTGTATGAGTAAAAAAAGTTATAAATGGACCCATTAAAAAGAGCATAAAATATTATACAAACCCTGAAAATTTGGTAAAAAATAAATAAGTTATAAAAAAAGTATAAGTAATTTAAAAATGCTATTTTTAAAGAGTTTTTGCAATTTTCTTAGGAAACGGGAGATTTTGCAGATATATATATCGCTATAACTTTCTTATTATTTATACAATTTTTACCAAATTTTCAGGGTTTGTATAATATTTTATGTTCTTTTTAATGGGCCCATTTATAACTTTTTTTACTCATGCAAAAAAAAGTTAAAAAGTTAGCCTTTTTTTAAAAGCTAAAAATAAAAGGTAAACTTTTTAAAAATAAAAATCGCTTCGAGGGGTATATGCCAAAATAAGCTGAATTTTTCATAACTTCTAATAATTTTGAGATAGTATTCACGAAAAAAATTTCTGTATAAATTATGAAGTGTCCGAACATTATGTGGTTAGGGCTCGTATATTGTATAACCAAAAATTTAATAAAATATAGTGTATATATAATATTTTTAATGCAACAATAACATAACATAACATAAGTAATACAAATCGAATTTATTAATACCCAAGTAGATTTTCAATTTTAAAAACTTAACTTTAACAAAAAAAATATTTTTTTATAAATAAATCTTTGGAATCATAAATAAACTCAAAAACCTATTATAATAAAGAATACCTACCTACACAAAAAAGTGCACTTTAAAAATATAGTTTTTCTACGACCTCTATGTAAGAGTCACATTTCGTAATGACATCGTTGCTTAGAAAATGAATATTTTCATTGGCAAGGCAAAACTCGAATGTAAAGTGGCATGTTTGTGTGAAAAGAAATTGACAGCATTGTTTGACATTCAGCTGTCAAACACGTTTTTAGGTTATTTTGTTCGCTGTGGCTCCCGTCCCGAGGCGGGACTTAAGTTCAGTCCCGATTGACGTCACACACTGTAAATCCGTTTTTATTCCCCGAGATTTTATAATTTGTGTCAAGCTCGATGGCTTAGATGGTAGGGCGGTCGCTTGGCATGCGAGAGGTACCGGGTTCGATCCCACTAGAAGTTGTCAAACTTTTTTTATTTTATAAATTTGTTGTTTCTTTGTTAAAAAGTGTTTTATTTTTATCGTAACAT